CCCCCCTCTCCCTCTAATACCGCCCCCAATCAAATTTGGTTTGTACTCAGCAAGCACAGTACAGTCCCCAACTCAGATTTAAAAAAGAAAAGAAAAGTGGATAGCTGTTTTCTGACTGGTCGGCAGACCGCCGACCGGTCGACCCTACTGGTCAGCTGCAAAACGGTCGACGGTCGGGGTCGGGGTCGGCAGTCGGCAAGTATGCAACCCTGCATCTGTTCTTAATTGTGGGATCAGGATCCTTAAGTCGTATCCCAGTTTGACTGTGTACTCATGAATGTGGACAGCCGTTCTGATACTCCTGCTTCTGCCTGGTGCCCAGGCCCATTCTGCCGCATCAAATTCCTGGTCCTGAATTGCAGTGTCCATTTTGAAGATTGTTTTCGGCGACATCCCCAACACTTACTTTTCTGAGCACGAACGGATTTAGGACTGTTAGCTCCACAAGAGTCCACATCTTTGTTCAGAATGGAGGAGGAGCCATGCATTGTAGGAGTAATTGGAAAAGAGGTAGAAACAGCCAGGGAGTCTGATCCCTGTTGCTTATGGGAGAACTGGAAGGCCCTTGTGGGTGCTCTTTTCCTGAACCAGCACTCCCCAATGCCCTGCTTTCCATGTAAAGGCTTCTCTCAACAATTCCTTCCAGGCTTCTAGGATGCATTTAATGATCATTTGTGAGTTCTCATCTTGTCGGTGGATCCCTTAAGGCAGGAACCAAGGTCCTGTTCTGAAAGCCAGTCCTTTTTCTCCTCATCCCAAATATGGCTCAGTTTCCATACTCCACAATGAATTCATGATATCCATCTCCTTCCCCATGCTCGAGAGAGAGATTGGGTGATCACTTTCGTCTCTGTCCCAAGGATTCCCAAAGAGGTGTTGTCCCAACAGACTTGCTCTTTGGACCTGGGTCAGCCCACTTTCTTTCGCATGATTTCCCACCATATTCGCAGCAATGCAGTCCAGTAAGGTGTCGGGGCCTGGCTTCATTTGGACTAGTCCCTCTTCATTGGTTTCTACGGCCAGTGTTTGGGTTCCATTCCTTATTCATTACCCAACATAGACCGGACACGTTTGCTAGCATAGCTGTCGGGGCTCAGCATCTGATATTGTCCAAAGCCAGTTTATTCCATGCCAGTCCCGGTTTGGTATTTTTTCGCTTTTCCTTTCTGTTTGTTGTACTTGTTTTTCAGACAGCTGTGAAACCACGCCCCACCACCGTGCTGCATGTTGAGACCTGGCATGGAGTATTATGAGGTGATGTGGTGGGGGGTTGGGGACAGGCCCTCTCTCTCTCTCTCTCTCTCTCTCTCTCTCTCTCTCTCTCTCTCTTCCGATCTCTCTCTCTCTCTCTCTCACACACACACACACACACACACACACACGCACACACACACACACACACACACACACACACACACACCACTAAACAGAATTGATGAGAGGAAGGAGTGTAGCAGTGGGGAGGACTCTTTAACTCACTTAGAGTATTCCAAGGCGAGCTTCTCCAGCTTGGGTTTGAGGTATATACATTTTCTGCACCATTGTGCCATCCTGTGTGCAAAGATATAAAATACAAGGCATCAGACATTGAAAGAGGTGGCAGTCATGGTGATCACAGCGATAATTACTTTCAGGGTAACATACTAACATGTCTGACAACATAGTCATCATCATCACAATCACCATCACAACCACCACGGCACCAAAGAAAGACGAGACAAATGACATCATCAGCCTGGAGCGCCAGAAGCAACCCAGAAGTCTGGGTCACCCATAAGCTAGCAGACTATACAATGTGTACTACCTCATACTGTTGTCCTTCTGCCCTATTCACCAAGTATGGATGGAGGAGGAGCTTGTTCCCACGGCGCAGGACAGAGCTTATACTCCACAACTCCTAGAAGCAGGCTATCGAGACGTGATCCTCCCTTATGAGATTTACATCACAGCCACCGAGATCGGTGACACCTTTCCTCCTCGTCTCAATCTAAAAAGTTTACAAACGTGCAAAGTTGCAAACAGATTGGTTAAAGGAGACCGTCGCAACTGTCCTCTTTGCAGAAGAAACCACAATGCTCTCCAGACTCTAATGACGTAAAAAAGCAGCCGATTCGGATATTCAAAATTGCATGAATTGCAGGGCATTCTCCACGAAATTAACGAAACTCATTCACAATCAGTTAAAACTTAAAAGGGCTAGATATGATATCAGAGTGAAGGTAGGAATCTCACTGCTACTCATCATGCGCCAGGAACTAAAGAACTGGGTCAGCGCAAGTCAGCGGCATCTCCGGGAAGTCAGCAGCATCTCCGGGGAAGGAAAGATATGGTTCCTCTTGACAACAAGATGTACGGACTCCGGAGTGCTCTTCCTGCCTTGAACGGCTTTTGGGAAATGAAAAAAAGAGGACATGATTTTTGCATAAGATGTCTAAGCATCAAGATGCAATCTTGGCTCGTCAACAAAATTTATGGCAGTTGAAGAAAAACTGCTGGAAAGGGTCCTGACGATGCACCCAGCCAAACTAAACACGGACGATCCAGAGTTGGGCAACATCTGTTTTGGCTTACAGCCGAGGGAGTGTTTGACTTTCAGACCTCACATGTCTATTGGAAGTTGTCTCGGCTTTGACTTCATGGTGCAACGTCTGTTAAAAAACTGTAACTGTTAGATGCGGCCCTCTATCCGAGAACCAGGAATGGAAGCGCTTTAAATCTACCAGTCAAGGGGCAGATGGTGGAACAAAAGAAAGAGACCCCATCTCCCTCTTCCACCCTTCTCAAGGTTTTTCCCTTATGGAAGACTCCCCCAAGGGGTTTGTACCCATCCCTCTAGGCCAAACAGTAACTCGAATTCGAAAGCTGACTCGAAGCAGCCTGCTTGGTCAACTTGAATTCGAAAGCTGACTCTAAGCAGCCTGCTCGGTCAGCTCGAATTCAAAAGCTGACCCAAAGCAGCCTGCTCGGTCCTCAAAATATTGACTCTCTAGAAATTGGGATCTTCCTCGCGGACTGGAGACAGTTTTCGGGGAAACAGTGCTTCTCTCAGTTGAATTCGGGCAAAAGGAAACCTTGATGATGGATTGTGATGATGAACTTCAGTCAAAATGGCAGGACGCAAAGGTCTCCTCGAGCGCTGCGAATATTATGAATCCCAGCGCTTCAGAGCCCATTGATTCCATGGCGGCCAAAGCGGCAAACTGAAAGCCATGATCTCATGGCAGAGGTCCTATCGAAGGTGCCCACAACAAGACATGCCTCGCCACTCAAACGGGATGAACACCTCCTTACGAGCAATAAGACCTTAAGGAGAATCTTCAGGAGATGCATTAGAGAAAGTAACTCACAGACTCCAGTCAGGAATCCGTCAAAGATCGTCCAAGAGAGTAACGCTCAGGGACGCTGGACCCGGTTTCCAGCAGGTGCTGCTCCCCACCATTTTATTTTTTTCATTTTTTTTTGAAGGCTAATTCTTTTAAGCCCAACCAATGCAGTTACCTGTCGAATCTGGACAGGACGGCCTTTCAGGCCTTTTTTATTGTCATTATCAGGGTTGCCGGCGTTCGTGACGGGCCGAACGCCCGAACCCGAACGCCCGAACGTACGGGACCCCTTCGGAAGGCGTTCGGCCGTTCGGGCCGAACGCGGACCAACAAAAAAAAAAAAATAATAATAATAATAATAATCTGACAAAACGAT